GGGAGGGAAGTGGAGCTCCACAAAAATCATCAGCAATAAAACATCTTCCATTTCTTCATCATTTTTTTTATTTTACGCCTAATTTATGCAAATGCGGTATTTTATAACATTTTTAGGGTCAAGTTTTTGACGAAATTTACCACGGCTAGTTGAAATAGTTATCAAAATTAAGTCATCTGCTCAAAAAGGTTGAGTTTTATAGGTTTTTTCCCTCTACACCACGTTCTACATGAGCTACCATGTGTGAAGGCAATTATAGATTCTACAGGAAAATTAACAGCTTTTTCAAATGAACGAAATTCTAAATCCAGAATTTCAACGAGTTTTAGTTTTGATGAAGATAATATTGATATTATTCATGATATGTAATACATTTATTTAACAAACAGTTTATCTATACGCCACACGTTTTCTCAAAAAAAAAAGTACAGGACTAATGCTTTAATATAAGCTTTAAATCTGTTAAGAAATACGAAATTCAGCTAAAAATGGTGTGTGCGATATGAGTTAAATCACTTTTTTTGATGGAATTGGTTTCAGTTTAATAATCAAAGTATCAAGTGAAGCAGTGAATTAAGTTGCAGAATGCAGTGAAATTATTTTCACTCACCACCAATAGTGTTTTGTGTTTGTGTGTGCGTGACGCACCATCATCATGTAACTGAGTTGAACCTCGATTTTGGCCCCCTCCAAATAGGAGAGCCAGTACTGCTCTTATCTTTTTTTTTTTAATTTGAAGATGTAAATTTTCCAATTTTTTTAAAAATTTTGTGCGGGCGGAAAAAGTGAGTTGGAAAATTTTCTTTTTTTTTTCAAAAAGAAAGATGATTTTTCATTGATTTTACTTGTTTTTTTTTAAAAATTTCGTACACACGAAGAAAGTGAGTTGAAAAATTTTCCTTTTTTTTTAAAAAATGTAATTTTTCATTGAGTTTACTTGTTTTTTTTTCAAATTTCGTACACGCGAAGGAAGTGAGTTGAAAAATTTCCCGTTTTTTTCAAAAAAAAAAGATTTTTTATTGATTTTGTTTCGTTGTGACGATTTGTGAAAATAAGCTAGCTTGGAAAAATCAAATATTCGCAAAAGAAAATTTCTAAGTTACACGTGGAAGCGGCCGGTTTTGAAAATTCACTGGTTGGTTTTGGTAAGCCAGCAGCTGATTTTGGCGATCTTTTTGAAAAATTATTAATTGGGAAATCGTAAAAAAATTCCTGGAAAATTTTTTTTCCTAAAAAATCCTAAAGAAAGATTCAAAAAATACTGTCAAAATTTCAAAAATTCGGTGATACTGTCAAAAGCAGCCTAGCGTAAGGAGCAAAAAATTTTAAAAAAATGGGCACTTTTTTACGCTTTTGAAACTAGCTTTGGATGGCCAAATTTACCAGTTTTTTGCTAGTTTTTGGGGGTATAAAAGGAGACAGATGCACACACACACGCACACAGACACACACATCTTACA